CTACCCACTAATGTAAAATATCTTCCAAAATATCCTAATTAAAATAACACACAAAATCTAAAACATGTATCAGTACAGTACAAAGCATAACCCTAGGACTAAAGTAAAAACCTGGCAACCATTAATCTCCAAATTACAGGAGAAAGATGCTCACAACAGTTCCATCTTAAAAGCCTGTAGAAAAATCCAGGTTTTGATGGCATCTTTGAAATCTAGGATTCCACTCAAATTAATAAACACAAGGCACTTAACCTGCTTCAGCTCTTCTGATTGTTTGGGGATTTACCACAATGATCAGAAACTACCTGGAGAAAGAGTTTTTAAATTATGAACTGTGACAGCTTTCTCTCACTTAAAATGAAGACTATAAGCAGATTCAAAATTACTTGGGATAGGTTAGCAGTAAAAATATGTAATACATACTACCCTTTTTCACAGATATCACACTTTAGTCTTATTTATCATGAAATATTTTTGTTTTAATTCTGAATTTTACATTTGTGGAATTACATAATTGCATATCTTTGATTCTATCTTTGATTCTATATGTACCATGCCCTCCAACACTCATGCCTTTATCTTTTTGTATGTTTCTTTACCATAACAGCCCATAATTTTTACTGTTTTTCATGTTACTTGTTGATGCTTTTAAAGGTACTATTTGCAACAGTTTGGTTGTTTGTCTGATGTGTCATTAGAGATGTTAACATTTTATATACCAATCAATATGTTTTTAATTTATTGGAGAAGGGTGTTTTTTTCAATTGTAACATGCATAATCTTCACAAGTCAATAACTTGTTTTTGTAATCATTTTCAGTAGACAAAGAAGTTTGATGCTGGCATCAATGAAGTAATAATACACAAAAAAACTTGAATCCTACCTAAAAAACTGAGTTCCTTCTCTTCCTAGGATTAGTGCTTCTGATTAATGAGATGACTTGTTTCTCCTGTTAATCAGCTTCCTCATCCCATTCCTACTAAAGAGGCCTTGGAACAGGGGGGAAAAGCCTGTCTAATAAGGATACACAAAAGTCCTATGTCTAGAAGTACAGGTCCTCATTTAACTCTTAGAACTGCAACAGAAATTGGCTCGCCAATGCATGGTTCATTGTTATTTGTCTATTCAATCTCCCAACATTTGAACAACAGATACAGGAATACAAAATTTATATCACTATCTTCAATTATAATTTGCAATTTAAGCTTACTGTTTCTCCTCTCATTAAACAAGGGCTACAACATACCTCTAATAACATTTATATCAAATTGGATGTTAGCCAAAATTTGTGGGTTCATGTTAGCAATCTCTTCAAATGAGCTTTTGCTCAGGAATCAATTGGCCTCTACATGCACAGCATTTTGCTCCCATATGCCAAAGTCATGGTTTTTTGCTAGCATTTTCCATCACAGATTCCTTAAGCATCATTGTTTTTAATCTCTATGTCTCATATTTTGAATGTTTTCTACAATTTTCTAAATACAATATTATGTAAGAATAAAGAAGAATTTAAACAATTTAAATATATTAGTTACCTTCTCTTCTATTTGAGTCCATGTTTCTTAAATATGTTGGATATTGCTTCAAGTTCAGTCAATATATTTCCCACTTTGAAATTTTACTGAGGGGAAAAATCCATCCCATTGTTTTAAATAACTTTTATATATAAATTAGATGAAAGAATTCCTAATTTTAGCAGAAGAAAAAATATGAGGTTATTGATTACCAGTGAAGTATATTGTATTTGGCTCATCTATGAAAACTTTTATTGAGAAGAGAAAGCCAAGATGCTTCTGGTCTCAATGAATCTCTTCAAACCAAGAACCAACCTGCTTAAATTATTAAATCGTCATTGTTTTTACTTATAGCTCAACAAGACTCTGTACTGTCCATAGTATAATCGTTGTGCTACCTGTTTGATTAATTATTTATATACATGACTTTGATGGATACTCATCTCACAAGAGTAACTGGGTGGTATACAAAATCAAAACAAAATTTTATCATTCTAAACCATGACACCCAAAATTAAAACAATAGACCCAAATCATAAAAGTGGCATTACCAGCAGAGGTTGCTTAACTTTCTAACCAAAACACCTAGAATAATGCCTGATCTTCAGAGGCTTAAGAAAGGCTAACAGGGCTGAGGCCACCTAGATGTCTGGAGGGACATGGTTTCTTGGGTCTGTTTATCTTTATATTCTTTACTGTACAACCTAAATCCTCCAGATGCAAGTGCAAGAATAAGAGTCCTATGACCTTACTTCTAGAATCTCTCAGAAATGGTTTATATTATGGAGAAAATAGGTACATATCAATAGGTAGGTAGACGTGAATATTTTGATGAATGAAGGCAATATATTGGTCTGAGCCTGGAAACAATTAAGAGCCAAGGAAGGTGATATCTGTATAATACATGCCTAGTACAAAACTCAGTTTAAATTCTTGTTTTTGTATTCAAACATCCATATTCTAATAGCAGCTCTATATGTAACACATTGCAGTAATCCAAATGGAAGGGTATATCATTAAGATTGGAACTTCAATCCACATTCAGAGCAAGCATGGCTACGATACTTTGCCATATAAAGATCTCTAATTATACCAATTCTAAAAGAAAGGAAATACTATTTTTTCATGTTTTATTATTTGCCCATTTTAGTCCTCAACAGCATTTTTAGGAGACCAGAGGAGAAGCATCAGCTGGCATGCTAAACACTACTGTAGTTCCAGGTGCTTTGATTATTAATTCCCAGCACTTTTCCATACATTAAGAAAGATAAATGAACAAAGCTTGACAATGATCTGTCAATTGCTCATATAAGTATTTCCAATAAGTGAAATATATAGTTTCAGCTTTAAAATGATGCTGAACATTTACCTAATGTATCAGAGCAGATCTCTTACAATCTTTTGCTGTTCGTATGTGTCACATAAGGAACAAGTTGATTCTCAGTTAATATTACATTTAATTATTAATTATTTAAACATGGAAATACAGTCAATTTTAAACTTACCATTGGCTGTGCTCTCTTTCTCTCTCACAGTATCTATCAGGTCCTTTATGACATTGAAACAATTACTGTCTCAAATGAAGGGAAAAGGTAGCTATAGAAGCTGATGATTTCTGAAGTAGGTCTTTCACACAGTAATTATTCATTTAAAATCCAGGCATGTCTAATCTAAACTTTCTAATTATGCAATCCTCAGGTCACATTCTCCCTGCTGGTTAAAAACAGCAGCTACATTTCTTAAACCAATGTTTTCACTATTTAACCCTAGAGGAACCTTAAAATAATGTACAGGTTGCAAGGAATCTCTATAAAAATCGCAAAAAAAGCTAAATCTTTATAATACAATTCATCTTTAACCTACACAACTTTAAATATTAGCACTGTACACTATGAAAATTAAGAAATGAAGTTTGATATTTTTCAGTCACAATCTCTTGTGGAAACTCCTAGCAATCTCTCATGGAACCTTAAGGTAATGCAGGACCCCAGTTGAGAAAAGCTGGCTCAATTATAAAATTCTACTTCATTTTTTTTTACTTTTTAGTAGCAACAAAAATGTATGCATTAATTGTACTTCAAAGCAATGCTGCTGGTGTTTCATAAATGGGAAAGTAAAGGATCGAGCTAGAAGGAAGCAGAACATGCACTTCTCCAGTATTTTTTATCCAGCAAATGTGACCATGAATCAGTTCAATTTACTAACCTTCCCCCAATCTGGTTGTGCTCTATTTAATGGACAACATCACCTGTCCATGTTGACTTGACATAATGAAAGCTTCCCTGTAATATAGCCAGAAAATGCTATTTTGGGAAGTCTGTATGGCTAGGCAAACCTGGTAAGACTAGGAGGCATTGGACCATGAGATACCTCAGGTGGTAATGGAAGGAGCACTTAATTTAGAGTTTATTTTTTATTGAGTGATCCAGTAATATTAAAATAATCTAAGTATTCCACTAAAAATGGCACTTATACAGTGTGTTTAATTTCTAAATGGAAATTGCTTTGTGGAAGTCTCAGTCATCAGGGTTCTTTTTACCATAGTGCACTGTTGATCAAGTACCAACAATGAAGTGTTGAAATCCAGCATTAGAATAGAATATAATTCTTTATTGGCTAAGTATGATTGGACACACAAGGAATATCACAGCAAATGTGCATCCAGCCTAGTATGTACTTGCTCATCCTGCCCCATAATTATCTATTGTTTAAGGATATTTAAAGAATGAAATTACAGTACGAATTTTAAATCTGTTCATATCAGTGGTAACACAATTATTCTTCCCATCATTGTTATTGGAATTATTTTAATATATAACCAGAAATGAAAGTGAATAGCAGATGATACTAACATATAGGTTCCATAGGCTGCTGGAAAGTTAAACTCATTGCGTTCAGAAATTATGTTGCTAAAATATTGGAATAGTTTAATTCTGTTAATTCTGAAATAAATTGTATATTAGCAAACTTCCAATGTAAATCCAATTATCTCAGTGAAGGTCTGGCCTACACTTTACCTCAGATTTATGCAAAATTGAAGATTAGTAATCCACTAGAAGCATTGGTGTAAGTTCAATTCATGTTTAATGTATTAATGGAAAATAGACTGATAAAAATGGCAGACTTTACTTATTTATATACATGTGTTAGATTGATTCAGTTAAATTTTACCTTGGTTTGCAAACTTCCTATTCTTCCCAAATATCTAAACTACTAATATTGAACTATTCATATTTTTATAAAGATTAGAAACATTTTAAACATTAGTATGTTATATGTACAAGTATATTTACAATTATATATGTACGATATGTACAATTAAATAAAGAGAAAAAGATGAAGAATTTCTGAAAGCTAAAGAAATAAATAGACCTTTATTTTTTATTTTTAAAAACAGTAATTTGTTTCCATTAAACTATATAAAAAACTATTTGCTTGAAAACTCTATAACGGAGATTTGATTTCACTCTATCAGTCCAAACCATTCTACATTTCTAACTTTAGCTTCAGCCCTGGTGCTGCTGTATAGTGAAAGGTGCCATCCCATTCCAGCCCTTGTGTGTCTGTAAATTCTCCTTTCCCTTCCAGCCTGAGATAAAAACAAAAATAGCAGGTTAAACAGAAGCAATAAACTACCCATAATCATGTACAATCTGAAGGTGTTTTGAGACACAATTTGCTAAAATAGTAATATTGACTTATTTTAGTTAGTTTCTTTATACTGTCTTTCTGTATAAAACAGTAAGATGAGATGCAACAAATTAAGAAAGATAATACCACCACTACAATAAAATTATCCAAACAATGATAGAAGAAATATAGTAATAAAACATTATAAGGAGTTTCAACAGCAAATTTACTAACTCTAGAAATATTAACTGAAGAGATCATACTCACCTACAAAGATCGGTTAACACAGAATGCTAGGCCATGGCCTGTAAATTAAGCCAGACTTTTCGAGATTGACACAACACAGTAAGCCAGAAACAAATTAACTATATTTTGGATTACAAACAGAAACCAAGTTACATAAACCAAGACTAAATTTCTAATACAAACTAGGCATATTACTGTAGTAAAGATACTAAGATGTTTTGCAGTAATTTTTTTCAACTTACTTGTTTTCATTGAATTGTCCAGTATACTTGGATCCATTAGAAAATACATAAGTTCCTGTTCCATGTAACATGTTGTTCTTGAATTCACCTTCATAAACTGCACCTGAAGGATGTTCTAGCCTTCCTAAACCATTCATCTAATTTAACAAAAAGTGGTATTAGCAAATGTATTAATAAAATTACTCCATTATTATTTTCCTAATTTTAGTAAATTTAAAAGAGCCATCCTACACATAATTAACTCAGGACAAGTTTAGCTGAATAAAGTTCAGCTTATAGTTTACTTTATAGCAAGGGAGTATATTTGTGTATATACACATTTTCATAAATGTGGACATCTGTTTTTTAGATTCTCCATTGCTACTTACTTAAATCCCCATATGAAATTGCTATGGAAGGCTGAGAGGAAATCAGTGAGATCAAATAAGATACAGCATGGAGGGTTCCAAGATGTTCAAATGGAGGCACTTTCAGTAAAATGAAGCTATCATTGGCTGTAGTTCCAAGTTTTATTTATTCACTGAGGTTTCTTAAGTCAATTATTTGCCATCAACTCCAAATTCTGTTCACTGAATGTTTTGTTATCTATATTTTTCTTCAGTACCACACTTCCAGGTAATCCCAACTGTATTTCTGATCTTTTCTTTCTACTTCTTTCAACCCTGATATACACAATCATTTCCCCCAATTGATTATTTATTTATATCACTCAAAGTATGTGAGTTTCTGCTCACTAATTATGGCTTCATTGGAACAGTCAGATTTTTTTTCAGAACTGACTTAATATTACTGTAATAGAAGATCTTTAATTATTTGCATGTTTTAGATATTTTTTAAAAACAAATATACCTTATCATTCTTCCATGTTCCACGATAAATAATTCCACCTGCGGTTGTATGAACTCCATATCCATTTCTCTCAAGAATTCCATCAGGTGTTCTTGTACAGTCACCATCTAATGAATCAAAAGGCAATGCAGGAGGGGGAAACTCAGTAACAAGTTACTCAATAGTATTAATGGTGTGTTTTTACTATGCTATAATTTTTTTTAAATCAGGCCATATGGTATCATGTGTCTTGAGAGTCTTGAGCTAAATTTGAACTGACAACCTAAAGAATACATGCTGAACTAAGTCTCTGGGAAACTCTTGACAGAAAGTTTGTTTGATTGCCCTCTCCATAATTCCTCCACTACAAAAGGAGAACCATAACACAGGATCAGAACAATGGTCATTGAATCCTTTTGGAACTGAGTGATTATAAATAGTTCGTCCTTGGTAATAATATCAGAATTAGGTGGCTATCCAGATGAATCAGCTAGCTCAGGTTATGAACCAATTAGCCCTGCAGATGGTACAAACTTAAGTTTTAGGAAACCCTTGACAAAATTTTACTGCTGAACCTGACATTAATCATACTGCTGAGTTAAATTCAGCACGTCATATAGACATGGCTTATGATAATGCTATATTTTATTTTCAATACTGCTTTCAACAATTGTAGTATTCACAGTGCAACATGATTTGATAATATCAGTCAAGAAATGTCATACTTTAGGATATACAATTAAATGCAGCTAAATGTTCACTAGCTGGAAATTTCTTCTTCAACTTTCCTATCTTCCCCAAACAGAATGAGATTATAATTGAGAGAAAATTGAGGAAATCCAACTCTAAACATTCCTGATATTTAAAAACAAACTCATCTCAGGTTATCTTACTAGCATAGGCAAGCATAGTAGATTATATTCTAAACTAAATTATTTGCATTGTAATGCCCAGGCTATTGTGTCATTTACAGCATAAACCTTTTTTTCCAAAAATAAGAACTGTTGAATTTATGTTATTGCAAATAAGTGCAATACAACCTGAATTGGAAATAATTTGTATACATTTTAATAATCTTTCACCAACACATTATAATATAGTATCTGTAAATATTTACCATACTTATCTTGATTTGGAAATGTAAATGATATTTTATAAACTTCAGACCCTGTTGAGAAAAGAATATATATTTTTACTAATCTTTAAAAGTATCCTCCAATCTAAATATAAAATATAGAGTGAGTTTAATGTAGTGGTTAAGGTACTGGCATAGAAACGAGGAAATTCTTGAGTTCTAGGTTTTTCCTTAAGCATGAAAACCGGCTAGACTGAACTTTGGGCTTTTGTTGCTTTCATTCTTAGTTGCTTCTTATCAGTCCAGCCTCACAGGGTTGTTGTTACACACACACACAAACATATATACCCACACACACACACACACAGGGAGAGAGAGAGAGAGAATCATCATCATCATCTGCACAAGCTTAGTTCATCCTTCCATCTGTCACCCATAAAGTATTCTACACTTAATTGATCTTTTGAGTGCAAAACCACTTTATACGTTAACAGACACATCAACATTTCACTGGAGAGGTGCAAATTCTTCGTGTCAATTTGCTATCACTTTTCGATCACGAAATACCTTCCCGTTTTTGTTTTTAAACAATCATTCCACCGGAATCACTACTCACCGGACATAACTCGGAAGGTGCATCCGCGGTTGCTATGGCGACAAGATTTACAGGAAGCGAAAGCTTTTTTACTTCCAGGGGATCGTCGAGCTTTGGCTTAGACTGAGATTCCGGGCGGGAGCGGATGTATGTGCTAAGGATAACTAGCAGGAAAGACAGAGGTTTGTTATTATGGGGAGGGAGTGGTGATATTTACAGTGCCTTTCGGGCGATCTTTTCTAAGGCGGTAACCTTCCGTTGGCTTACTAGTTCCTAGTAAATGTACGAAGAGTTTAGGGACGGAGAAGGGTGTTTTATAATACATATGCAGGGAGGCTGTGAGTTTTCTAAAAATGTCTTTGGAAACGCTGAAAATGAGATGCCTGCAAGTATTGAGGGAGACGAGGAATTTCAATCCAGCATATAGTGTTTAAGTGATGCAATGTGGCTTTTTATAATAATTGTAGTGGAGTGTTCTTTGCAGAAGGATATCTCAGGCTTGGCCCCTTAAATTAGTGGCACTTAATTGTAGATCTGACTTAAATTAACAAGCTTATGCTACGTTAGTTGAATACACTGTGTGCTGGTCACCAACTATAATTCTCTATATGGTTTTTCATAATTTCACTGTGAATACTGAGGTTCTCCCCCATCCCACCCCCAATAGTGAGCATTGATATGTTCAGTTAGGGAAAACATAATTTATTGTGATTTATTATAACTTATACTAGGGTGATGTATTTAATATAGTATATAATGTACATTATAATTTATAATACACTTGTACAAAATGTATGGTTTTTTAAAAAATCTTTTTTACCTTGCGTTTTGCCCCACCAATCCCAAAGTTCCTTGCAATTTGAATAAGAAAATAACCATATTTGCAAGGCTTTCCATAACAGGAAAAGAGATAGAAAAGGAGAAACAGACAGATATAAAAATCTCCAAAAGTTTAGTTACCAAATTCAGCAAAGTATAATTCACCCAAACAATTGTTGCTGCTCTTATGGTGACATTGAATGTAACGCATAGCATGCAGTGCAATTATATTGTATATATACCTCTACAGATATAATTTAATTAATTTTATTGATTTAAACTTGATCCAATGGAGTATGATATACTGTTGCCCATGTCATAAGTGGATCCTTATTGATAACTATACTCTTAGAGATAACATACAAATACTGTGACCAAAGCAAATTTACTAGAAAATAAATTCCACTGTATTTGTTATGGGTTGTAGGTGAGAGCTGATCAATGAATGATGTCAATGGATACCTTTTACTGTGTGTTTACATAATAAACCTAGTGCTATACTTAACTCTTGAGCATTTTGTTTCATGTTTTTTCCCCTTTAGCTAAAAAATGAGTTCAGCAAAGAGAAGAGGGAGACCCAAAAGTAGAGGAGGAAAAGGAGGAGGTAGTGGAAGCAAACATCAAGGCAGTGGCAGCAAACATCAAAGCAGTGGCAGCAAAAAAGGATTGGACGAAATGTGGGATGATGATTTCTGCGTTTTTGATGAAACAGAAGATGCATACAGGTTAGCAAAATGAATTATTCTTTAGAATATGAACTGAATGTAGCATCATAGAGTTAGGAATGAGTATTTAGCTGGAGACCAAATAAATTAAGGAGATTTGAGTTTCATTTTGAGTTTATGAGATAATGGGATCTAAACTTTATTTTTCGGGTCCAGCACATACATTTTTTTCTGTGCAGGGAGAAGAGGTGCTTGCCTTTAACAGGCAACTCTTCTGCTCTGTCTGCTTAATGACCAACTCAGTCTCTTGGCGACCGTACCTAGGAGGATGTTGCGGTTATTACATGTGGGTACTTTGCTTAACCTTAACAATTTATAACCAAAAATTGAGACCTTGTAGGTCAAGGACTACTTGCATATGTTTTTCTCTTCGTTGCTTTGGCAAGAGATCTCCATATTCTTCCTTACTTTCTCCGCTCTGTCTGAACATTTGCTAACAACAGAAGATGGATCCTGTACAATTGTCATTTTAATCATAATTTTAACTAATGAATTTTTATGTATTTGAATATGCATTTTACACTACTTGACTGTATTTGTAAATAATATACTTCTTTCTTTTTTGTACATCAAGTTCTGTTAATAGAGGAAATGGACAGACCAAACATGCATCCAAGATCAAAACATCTCTGCATACTCTTCATATGACTTCAGAAAATCAGAAGAGAGTAAAAGAACTTCTTTGTGAGCTCCAGGGGCAGGAATTGGCTTCTGGTTCGAAGTGAGTTTTTAAAAAAACACAATGTACTTATTCTTTAAATATGACATGCCACAAAATTGTATATTTTCATAACTGAATAGGCTTTTCACAGTATGTAATTATGGAATAAAATTTAGCATATCTAGACTGTTGATTGATTTAGCAAACAAGATTTTGTACCCATTCTAGAAGAAGAAGCAAAGTGTTTGTTTAATTCAAAGTGTCTGCATGTTTTACATAACAAAGACAGTTAATTTCTACCTTTGAACAATTAAATAAAACTACTTCCGGACTGAGAGAGAAAAGTATAAAATAACTTTGTATAATCCTAATCCTCCAAATTAATTTATTGGTTGTAGTCCTAGAAATATCTTATGCTTTCAGGACAGTAATGTCAGGCATAGCTGATTGCAGTGAGTCAGACGATGAGCAGTCCTGGTCAGATGACAATGCATTCACTAAAACCGATTCAAGAGCTGCTTCTCAAGCAACAGTGAACCATGTGCTAGAAACGGAAGTATCATCTTTTGCTGTGCATAAGCTTTCCAGGTAATTATTTTTGCATCTATTCTAAAATGTCAAAACCACTGCATAATTTAGAAATGTTGATTGGAATGGATAGTTGCAATTACTTGAAGGAGTAACACACTGACCTCAGAATCTAGCAACTCAATAGTAAGACAATTTTTGCTTTGATTTAAAAAAACACATTTCAGGCTGTTTAATTATCAAATTATTGTCAATGGGTGGCTTTTTTTTTAGTAATTCCAATTCTTTATGTTATTATTAAGCGGGGGCAGGGGAAAAGAAACAAGTTCTTCATTCAAGTCAATTTCCTATCAACCCAAATCCCTTCCTGGCTCTTTTATTCTGCCCGCGGAGATTTTTAGGAATTCAGCTTTGCTTCAACAATCATTCAAGCCATTGGTGTATCTTCATAGAATGCAAAATTTCATATTCTAAAAACAACTGCTGACTCAGATAACAATGCACATTCTAGTTGCAGAATTAAAGTGTATTATGCAATCCAGAGTAGCTTCTTCTCATATGATAAAATAGGCTAAAATATTCATTTTAGAAGTAGTAGAACTACTTGCTCTTGCCTAGATGGCACTTGTATACCCTGTTTTTCTTCCTCCTAGGTATGGCTTTGATTCTGAGCATTGCCAAGCAGTACTGAAATCTTACAATGGTAACATTGGAGCATCTTTGGAACATTTACTTTTGCAGTGCTTCACAGAAAAGTTTGGAAAGAGAACGCAGCTCACAGAAGCTTCTGTTCAAGCAAATATTAAAGATTGTTTTGAACAAAGGCAAGAAGAAGCTTTAGCCCTCCATTCAATCTGTGGAGACAAATTTGTTGAACGAATTCAAAATCGAGTTTGGACTATTACATTAGAATTGACCTATCTAACAAATATTCTCAGCAAAACAAAACAAGGAAATAGTATCACCAGTAACATAGTTAATACAAATTCCCAGGGTATCTGTAAATTTTACCTTCGAGGAGATTGCAAATTTGGATCAAGATGCAGATTCAAGCATGAAACTTCACACAATGAGAAATCACTTCCCCCCATTCGAGACGATGCTCATCTTAAACTTAATGCTCCTGTGTATGAACTTGAAGTAAGATTTCCAGAAGATAATAAATACCCATATCAACCACCTCTTGTGGCCTTCTATTCTACTAATGAGAACTTGCCCTTATCTTGTCGATTGCACTTAGCAGAATTCCTTTATGAAAAGGCCTTAATTTCATCTGAGTCTAATAAACCTGTAGTATATGATTTTGTAACATGCTTAAGGGATGAAGCTCAGGTCCTGAAATTGCTTAATAAGACATCCCACAAATACAGTGTTCGTCCACTGCCTCCAAAACAAAAGTTTCCAAGTAGCTGTAATAATCCATATCAGACTTCTGTAGGTATGTTCATTTTTATAACTCTTTATTGGGATCTTGAAAATCAATGTTGAATGCCTCCATTTTGATTCCAAAATTATTTTATATATTACATTATTTAGGTATTATTCCTACTCTGTGGGCTTGAAGAATATTATATTATGAATAAGTTTCAATAAGAAACCAGGGGTGGGATCCTACCGGCATAACAACCAGTTTGGAGAGTATGCGCATGCGCGCCAAATGCACATTGCATGTGCATGCACGCTACCAGCTCCAGCGAGCATTTCTCCAGCTGACGAGCGGCACTCAACTGTGTTGCACAAAGCAGCTGAGGTAAAAGCATAGGATAAAGAACAACCTAGAGCACTGCCGGGCAGGTGGGTGGGCCAAACAGACAACCAGACGGTTGTCGCAGCGAATCAGGTTGGTGTCAGCTGCTCTTCGGAGCTACCGGTTCTATAGAACTGGGCCGAACCGGTAGAATCCCACCCCGGAAGAAACTTTGTAACTGATTGGATCTTTGTTTTTGTTTTTTTAGTAATTTGCTAACATGGATAGAACTAGGCAATTTTCAGTTAGAGAGAATTGTGCTTCAAGGAATGAATTGTGTGTAAGTACAGAAATGTCAGATAACACCAAATAACATCAAATACCACCAAATGTCAAAAAGATATAACTATTTTTAATGTCATATTATATAATCTGGAGTCTTTCTAATGTATTGAGTTCCCAGTTTGGAACTGTAGAATTGAAAGAGACCAACCCAAGAGGACATATTTTCCCATTAAAACTTGCATTGGAGAATGAACCTTTAATCTAATCCTTCAATTATCATTTTATTTGGATTAGCACTTTAGCCTTTGTTGCTCATTAATCCAAATCTCATTTACAGTACTTATGGAAAGTGTACTATACCCTTTAATTGATGCCTTCAAATACCCTACAACATTGGTCCCCGATCTTTCCAGCTCTGAGAACCAGTGGGGGGTGGG